AAAGACTTTAAATTCCTAGAAAAACATTTTACAACTCACAGAAGCAACATGTCTATGCACCGGAGCACAGTAAAGAGTTTCATTGCACAGGTAATAATGACTGGCCTATAACCAGCATAGAATTTTGGACAAAAGCTGCTCTATCTACCTTATTCTAGCTCAATGAAAGCTCTCTCCGGGATGAAGAGTAAGTAAGGATTATTTCTAGGAAGGGCCCCATTCAATAGTCACAATTTTTGCAAAGATAAATTAGTGACGCCCTTGATAGCAAAGGTCAAATGGTTCTGCCTCTTAGACATGTAACAAAAAGAGTAAAAGGATAATTCTGGTTTGTTGCTGCCATTCAAACACTAATTACTTAAACTCATTTGTCAGTATTATTCCTGGTAAAATAACTTCTGAGAGGATATTTCTAAAGCTTCCACTGGACTCTCCCAGCAGTTTTGTTTGTTTACAAGATGAACAGCCATCAGGCTTCTGAAAAACTCATCCAATTGCTTTGAGGGACACTGTAACTAGTCTTTAATGTCCTGTTCTAAGGTTTGGATTTTCAATGACTTATCCAGCATGGAAAAACAGAGATAAAGTTGTAGCTGGTAAAAGAGACACTAACCTCATTCCAACTACAGCTCTGACAAGTCAGTTACTGGTCACTGGAAATTAGAAACACTTCCTATATTTAAAAAGTTACATCAGAAGCACAAAACAATGATCTACGGTGACATGATGTGTTGCTTAGATAAACATTCATGTACATTTATGTCTAGGCCGCTGCTGTAAAATGTATGAATGGTATAGCAACAATGACAGGAGCTGCCAAGTCGCCCCGTACCACAGGCGTGACACAGGCAGGAGGCCATTGCCACCTCTTCAAAATAACCCGTGAATCTTTCTCTGTTCTCTAGGTCTCATTTTGCCTATTTTGTGGGTTCTTCCAGGTCTGAAGCTGCAGTCATCCTACTCCTACACCTGACAATGCAGCAACCCAAAGAGTATCACCTAATAGTGCCTATTAGGTGATGTCCCACCGGAGCTGCGACGAGAGAACACCACCCTGACAGAGTTGGTGCCATCCTGGAAACACGTCCGCGCGCTCTAGGAGACGGAGGCTCTGGGAAAGAACAGAGATTACGAAAGGCTGTGGCACCCGTCCACAGTAATGCTTAACAAAAGCAGGTATTCACTGACCCAAGAGGAGCGACAGCCCCACACAGCCTACTTTTGTCTTTATGCCAGTGAGGGTTTATGTTGCAAACAGATTATCAAACGCGTAACTCAGGCCTCAGCAGTCAGCTGTATGATGTCCAGTTCCCACCCCACATAACCGTGCAATCCCCTCGGACACCGTGGCTGTGCTGAAGATGGCTTCTGATTCCATGCCAATGTATCAAGTGGGGAAAGAAGAGATGGAAGAACAGGGAACAAGGAGAAATATAGGCAGGAGTTACTAATTGTGCTCTCTGAAATCTCTTCTGCATTACAGATGTTTCATAAAGTACATTTCACTTTGTCTAAAAATTTATTTTGCACTTTGTGCAGGTTTGATTTATTTAACACTCTGTAAGCTTCCACGTTTCTTCAGTTCCATTCTACAAACAATTTGTTCATGGTTAGCTGCCAAAACTGGGCTTCATTTTTCAGTTCAATAAAATTCTGTGTTTGCTCTGGTTATTGGCTGCTTTAACAGGGTACACCACTTTGAACTAAAGGAATTCCTCAAGGTCTTCTGAGATGTACAGTTTTAAGCATAAGTAAAATCCACTTGGGTAGAAGGTTCTTACGTGGGACTGTTGGGGTGACTGGATGTAATCAAAGCTCATGGAAATCAGTGGGATCTGGAAGTATTTTCAATTTGGAGATTTAGGTTCACAGAAGGTAGATAAAAACAAATGTTTATTTTACATTAGTTTGTATTCTATATGGAGACAAAAGACATTTTATTAGACCAGCTCATATTACTGGAAAGAATGGACACATTTTGAGGCCTGTGAATCTTTTTTTTTTGGAATTATATGTAGTAATTTTGCAATTCCCTGAATGGAACTGATGAGCACTACAAAACTGACCCTTTGCGATCTGCAAGATTTCAACATAAATCTGAAAGTTTTACGACACTCCTTAATAAAACACTAAATTTTTGAAAATATAACAGATTATTTGATTGTAAGACCATGAGTAAAGGATTCCAGAGAAGAAGGGAAAAAGGTATTTTTAACGGGTAAAAATACCCCATAATTGATCACGTATGCTGTCTAAGCCACATGGCATTTTTTGTGCATAAGGAGGCAGATTTACAGGTTTATTATATGCTGGTTTACAAGTAAAGAATAGAAAGATTCACTTCATAAGCAATCCAGAGGAAACTTCATAAAATTTTTATGACCATAATATTGAGATGACCTGCTTGCCTCATAAACCTATAATAATCTGGCATCCTTGGAAGTTCATGGATGACTGCATTAATCAGAAGAGTCAGGGCTTAGATCTTCACTTCTCTTAGATGCTGTGACTTCTGACACTTAACAGTGACAATGTTCTAGTTACCATCATCACTAGAATGAGCAACCATGTAAATCCTGAGAGCAGGTCACGCCAAATCTGTGCAAATTAAAGCTAAACATCATTTTACAAGTGATGCTCAAGGCAAGTTTTCCTTTAACATGTCAGAGCCCAACATCTATTTTTAGGAGATTAGACAGAATAATGAAGAAATATATTTCCACCCCACTCCAATCTGGCTTGGTCTTCACATGTCTGTGTAGATGTTTCCAACACTTTAGAAAGTACTGGGTTTGAATTGGCAGATACTCTACTGAAACTATTTTAAGTTCCATAAAAATGTTTCCTTTCATTTTTTTTAAGCCTCAGTTTGAGCATGAGATACCAGACAGCTCAAAGACTAGCCAGAGTGAACAGTATTTTTTTTTTCTCAATCAATTAATGAATTTATAATTCATATGTATTTTGACACTATATCTATTTCAAAAGTAAGCTAATCAAATACCAGGAAAGCAGTGCTGAATATATGTTTGGGCATATCCTCCTACTACAGCTGACATGCTTCAGAGCCATCTGAATGTTCCACAGCAAAGGAAAAAGCAATTGAATATATTATTTGACAAAACTGGTATAATCTATCAAGTTATATTTTTGGCTATGGCTCCCTGTTGTCTCTTTTGCAATTCTGTTTTGTTTTCTGCTGTTTTACTCTATAACTTCCCTGCAATGCGCCTTTCCATACCAGTTGGAATTGTATTAAGGTTTGTGTGTCCCCTGTCTTAGCTAGGGGGCATTTGATGTGCTATTGAGCAGAACAATAGCCAAATATTCCTGCCTGCTTAGGCTAGAGTCCACATATGAAACTGGTTGGTATCTGTTTTACGTTTACAGCTTTCAGTGAATCCAGTGGGAAGGGAATGATCATATATCCTGGTTTGAGCAACACAGGACTAATTTCTCTTTCAGTAATTTCACTTTTCAGTAAGGTCTCTTCTCATACCAGGGAAAACTGCATTTTTAGAAGATCCTACTGTCTGAATTTGTGAAAATACTTTACTTTATAGCCAGCTCGGCTATGAGGGGTTCAAGGTCTCAGTGTTTTTGAGCCTTGCCAGGTGCAGGGACAAGGAGGACCGAGACCTCAGCACTTGACCCAGGCTGGCCAACAGGATTATTTAATACCATGAACATCACATTCAATATAAAGTTTGCTGTGAATCTATCCCTCTCTTGATGGCTGTGATCCTGAGAACGCACTGCCCCAGTGCCAGACCCCGGGGGCCTTCCTTTCCTCCCGAAGCCGTTGCGCTCACAGTGTCCGACATTTGCTGTCCACTGGTGAGAGTGCACAGCTTCCTGCTGATAGAATTGGCTGAGTATAGTCCTTGTCTGTTTTATATTGGTATCAGAATCAATACTGGTTCATTAATATTATTAATGTTAATTATTTAGTATTATTCATAGAATAGAATCATAGAATGGTTTAGGTAGGAAAGATCATTGAATTCCAACTCCCCTCGCCATGGGCAGGGACACCTCCCACCAGACCAGGTTGCTCAAAGCCCCATCCAACCTGAACACGTCCAGGGATGGGGTGTCCACAACTTCCCTGGGCACCTTGTTCCAGTGTCTCACCATGCTCATAGCGAAAAATTTCTTCCCAATATCTGATCTAAATCTATCCTCTTCCAGTCTGAAGCCATTACCCCTTGTCCTGTCACTACATGCCCTTGTAACAAGTCCCTCTCCAGCTTTCTTGTAGGTGCCCTTCAGATACTGGAAGGCTGCTCTAAGGTCTCCCTGGAGCCTTCTCCAGGCTGAACAACCCCAACTCTCTCAGCTTGTCTTCATAGGAGAGGTGCTCCAGCCCGCTGATCATCTATTAAATCATTATTCTATTAAATCTGTTTGTATTTCAGCCCTCGAGTTTCCTTGTTTTTCCCGATTCCCCTCACTGGGTAGGGAGGGATCATCAGGTGATAGAAGAGTTGGCTAAATGACAATAAATTGTTGTGGGTTCTTCAAACCGCAACATCAGGACAGCAGGCACGCTCCAAGTGCAGCCCATCCGTGTCTTCACGCGTGCTCCTACTCGGTGCTTTCTGTGTGCCCTCTCTGCCTCTTCAGCCCGGCGCCGTCCAGCTTTTATCTGTCAGTGCTCATGGCTGCGCTGCCTTATCTTTATGGCAGGTCTGTAAATTCCTGCGGCCCACGGGTGTCCCCCCACCCCAGCCCGCTTGCACAAGAGCTGCCACCGCCAGCTCCAGCGCCGGGGGGGAGCGGGGAGCGCCCTGCGGCCGGCGCTTTGCCAGGGGACGGGCTCCAAAAATTAAAAACAACACCCTCCCGGTGAAGAAGCGGGGCTGAGCCGGCCGGTGAGGCCGGACGCCGCCGGGCAGGGCGGAGGGGCGCGGAGAACTGCGGCTGGCACCGCCCGCCCGGCCCCGGGCCCGGGCCCGACCCCGCCCGCCCGCCCGGGCCCCTCCTTCGGGGCGCTCGCTGCCGTGCTCGGGGCTCGGAAGATGGAGGACTACGGGCGGTTCTTGGCGCTGCTGGTCTCGGCGCTGCTGCTCGGCTTCCTCTCGGTCGTCTTCTCCCTCGTCTGGGTCTTCCACTACCGCGAAGGGCTGAGCTGGGACGGCAGCCCGCGGGAGTTCAACTGGCACCCCGTCCTCATCATCACGGGCTTCGTCTTCATCCAGGGCATCGGTGCGTCAAAGGACCGGGACCGGGACCGGGGCGGGAGGGGGGACCACGCAGCGGTCCGGGAGCTGCGGGGGGAGCGGGGGCGGCCGGTGGCGGGTGACAGCGGGAGCGCAGCAGCCGCCCGGTACGGCCGGAGCCGCTTAGGAAAGCCAGCGCTCCCCGGGCAGGGACAAAGAGTCCCTTGTAACGAGCCCAAAGTGCTGTGTGTGCTGTGGGGTGGTTTTTTTCCTTTTTTTTTTTCCCCCGCAAGCACTTGTTTACCCTGGCCTGGGCTCCCCTCGCCCTCGGAGCAGCGCTTGCTTGCGAGGTGTGTTCCCCGGCCAGCCCGGGGCTGTGCGAGCCCACAACAGCGATGCCAGAAACGCTGCCCGAGGAAAAGTCTCTCTCTTTTGGCTCCCTCCCGCGTCCCAAGAGCAGAGAGGAAAGAGCAGCACCACTGAAGCCAGATCCAGGAACGGGGTTTGCGCCAGAGAAAACGTAGCACCAGGAGCATCGTTAAAATGCACACAATTCAGCCTTGAACTGGCTTTTAAACGTTTCCCATTAGACTTAAAACATGAAGAGCATCTTTTTTTCCCCATCCCACACAATTAGGATGTTAGGTCTTAAGTGCACGGGTTGTTCCTTAAGGCCAGTGGGAATACTGGAGTGTCAACTGTGTTTTTGCTGTTAGCATAACTGGCTAATTCCAGGAAAACAACTCAGTTACACACACTGTAGTTGATAAACACCATCAATTTAGGAAAGAAAAATACAATGCTCTTAGTAATGTTTAAAAAGCAGATAACGATAGAGTACCACAGAGGTGCTTATCTAGCCTGTGAATATATTTAAACTAGAGCTAAATATTTGAAAAATAAGGGCACTGGACTGTACCTTAAAAATCCTGAAATTTGGGAGGGTCAATTTATGCTAATGGCATTAAAACTAGAACTTTGACAGAGATAACAGCTTCCAACAGGAATGTTTTATAAAGTCAGTGACAAAATTGTTGCTACTTTCAATGTGAAGAGAACTAAGTGAAACATTAGTAATGGCTCCAAGAAGGGCAGATAAATACTGCAGAGAGCAGTGGAAATTCGCCCACAGGTCTGCCACTGACTGTGGCGGGGGGAGGACAGGGAAGATTTTACTGTTCTTAAGTAATGAAGAACCTCTGGGGACTTGCAGTACAAATGTAAGCAGGAGTATTTTTTTCTTTGGAATGGAAGAGAAACATGAATTCGTCTAGACAAATTTAGAATTTCATTTTTAATAACCTTATTTATATCTGCTTCACCAGTGAATGATCTATTGCGCTCATCCCGCCAGAAAACTTGTCCAGCAACATCCGGACATTGATTCCAGGGGAACATGTTGTTTGCATCACATGTGTGCTCGCTCCCCCGCTCGCTCTGCCGCAGCAGCCCAGCCAGGCAGAGGTTGGAAGAGGCAGGAGGAGTGTGTGGCTCCCTAGTCCTGGCTATGAAGGGAATACTGGGATTTGATCACACACTGCAAATTCCATTTTTTCAATGGGAGATGGCGGTGTTCTCAGCTTTGTGGCTTCAAGCTACAAATTACTGTTGAGCAATGAACAACATTTTGAAGTTGTTCTACATAATATTGCTCAATAGGAAAAGTAATTTCAGGCTATAAATAATTAATGAAAAACACCTGGATTACTTCACTAAGATCTGTATTACTTTTGATCTGTGATCAAACTACTGGTTTTTATACAAGCATAGACCTTTTGAAGAAAATAGGGGGAGGTTTTCTGCAGCTTTTTCATAGGCATTTTCTTTTTTTTTCCTCTGAAATTCAGTTTTTGCCTGTGTCACAGAGTAAGGATATTGCCCCAAGCCTTGTGTAGCTAAGGACAGATGTAAAGTAAATGGAAGTTTAAGGTAGTTAGAAAAAGAAGAGGAACACATGCAAGGAATACATTGATAACAGAGCATTGTTTGGGGGGGGAAATCCTATTATACAACAAGAAAAGCAAAATTGGAAGCTGAAGGAGTATTGTAGTAAATCAGAAGAAATATCAACAGATTAAGATACCACTGTGAATCTGATTCAAATCTGGTTGACAAAAGTCTGCCACTGAATTTGAAGTAATTTGGATAAGACTGGGAAAGAGGATACCTCTTTGCAGACATTCAAGAAAAAAAGTCTTTAAGTAGTTAAAAGTAGAAAGGAATAGCTCATAAATATCGTGGTTACATTTGTGTGGAGGATATGAAATAATAACCAAATCAACTGCTTCTTGAGTTCATTAAAATCTATACAAAGGATAGAAATGTTGTCTTGTTGATCTGTAGGAGGTAGAATGGAAGACTATAATAATGTGCATATTGGAAAGCAGATGTGCCCTGATAAAAGTGTTGTATATATCTTGTCAATCAAATGAAAAAGCTGTAGGCATGTTAATATTAATACTTACTATTTGCGGATCAGCACCTATAGGTAAATGATACCTGACAAAACACTTTCAGTGCACAATAATTGTCCAGATGATTTTCTAGGCTTAAAGTGGGAAAAGCACAGGCAATAAAAGTGTGTCTGTGTATTAGCACATTTTTGAAAAGAATGAGATAGGAATAAAACATGAGGAAAAAGTGAGCTTTAAGAAGGGCTTGAAAGAATAGAATCATAGAATGGTTTGAGTTGGAAGTGGGACCCAATGGTTTGGGTCCCACTAGACCAGGTTTCCACTTCCAGGCACGGGGCATCCACAGCTTCTCTGGGCAACCTGGTCCAGTGTCTCACCACCCTCACAGTAAAGAATTTATTCCTAAACTCTTACCCCTTGTTCTATCGCTACACTCCCTGATAGAGAGTCCCTCCCCATCTCTCCTGTAGGCCCTTTTTAGGTACTGGAAGGCTGCCCTAAGGTATCTTCAGATAGTGTGATAGAATGGGTTAAATAAGTAAATAAGGGATTCTATCGTATTCTACACATAGAAATGTTAAACAATGACTGTAGATACAGAGCATGCTCCAAAGGAGTTTTTGTATACTAGTTCGTGTTTGGCCTGCAAATGATAATGTTTCATTTTCTCCAAAAGGAGTAATTATGAGACCAACCATGATATAACGTGGAATAAATGTTTTTTGAGGATTTGCCGTTACTCACTTAATAAAAGAATATTTTTTTCTACAGAGATGTAACAATCTCTGTTGCAGACTGAGGAGCAGCATGGTGGGTTTTGGGGTTGTGGAAGATGGAATAAAGAGAAAGCCAGAACAAGGAGGGTGCCGTAGTCTTTGTCTCCCATCCTCTGATCACTCTTCTTCTGCTTATGAGTCACATATAAACTCTATACAATAAAGTTGTAGGTTGACACTATAAGCCATGGAAGACGCTTGCAAAGTGTGTATTCCTCTTCATATATGACTTATAAATATCACATAACTTGTATTTTAACAGGCTTAAAACATGAGGCTATAGCCTAACGTCAGCAGTATATTAATAAAGCAGTACAATAGGAATGTTGCTTAAGAGTTTTTACAGAGAAAAGTAAACAAAGAATTCTGGTCTGCCACATTACTGTGTGGTGTTACAGAGTCAATTAAATTGCATCTGTATGGATGCAATTACCTACTCCAGTGCGCTCACAGAACCACGCCGTGCTCCTTCTAAGGTGGAAGTCATCTGATGAGTAATCCATCACCCCTCCCTACAGCACATGAAGCATGTGCCAGTCAGAAATACCAGAGAGCTAACTCTAGAATTTTGCTTTGTGTGTTTGGCAAAGAATAGGTGTCCCATGCTGCATGCAAGATATTGCAAGATCACTTGGCTCTACATGACGTGATTTAAAATCAGAGCTCAAAACAGAAGTGACATCTGAGTGAAGAAGCTGTGTCTAAGGATGCCTAGAGTATCAAATCTCTTAGCTGAAGTAGATGTGCTGTACCTAGAGAAAGTTCTTCACAGGACTGCTTTAGCATGTCACCATTAAAAATGCTGTAACTGTGTATGTGCTTTTAACCCAGGCTATTTTGAGATGAAATGACATATCATGTCTGAGTCAGTTTTTAAGACCTTGCACCACTGAAAGCAGAATCTTCCTCCTCCTCTCTGCTTTGATCCCCAGATCGTCTTACTTCCTCCTCTGGTCAGAAAAGCACCAGATATGACAAAGGCAAGGGGAAGCACCCAGAACTGGAACTAAAGAGATGATGGGGAAATGGGACTGTGTCTTTTCACAGTGATAAACAATCAGATCTGCTTAAGTTGCAGTTGCGTAACTTCGGAGCCCATAAAGAAGGAGGATTAAACCAAATTGTACTATTGTTCTATATGTCTTGGGCTGTGGCATGTAACGTGCTAATGCATCGTATGGTTAACAAGTGTCCAAACCGTTACTGTACTCCTTACTTTTCTATCATATTGTTTATGGGAAACAGCCCACAAAATTCATGGCCCAGATGGAGATCTGAGACTACAGAGATGAGAGACCAAGGAGTTTGATAGTGATTTTGGAAGTTATATCAACTAGATGACAGCATTTTATGTGTCAAAGAAAAATGTTATACAAAAATATTAGCGTGAACTTGACCTGAAAACTGAGACCAGGACCTATGCACATCAAGTTTACTTCAAGACATGCAGAGTCCAGTACTTTGCTGCACTTGGAATAAATTATTGACAATACTATGGGCCATTCAGTGAGATGGAGCAAGGAGGATTCACTGGGAATATCGTCATGGGTTGAGGCTTGTATGGGGCCTTTTGGCATACCTGCTTTACAGAATTGGAAATCATAATCGTTAGTACTAGGTTAATTAATAATAGCCTGATGAAGGCATTTATTTCAATATTAACAAGATATAAGACTATTGTATAACTTTTGGGGAACTGTTGGAGGTGATCGTAAGCTTGGTGTGCTGAAACATACCTATGTCATAGAGACTGATTACTGCCAAACCATCTTAAAAACAAGGCTTCTATCTTCCTGATTTTGTAGGATTTGCTATTGTTACTTTTTGAAAGTAGAAAGCTGAGAACTACCTCAGTGCTATATATTATTTAAATATTCTAAGGGACACTTTCATTCCAGTATTATATTTTCACACGGTATGTAAAAGCATACATTGATTTAAAATCTGATCGTAGTCTGGAAATTTCGCTTGTGAACAGTGTTTTCTTTGTGAATTATTTAGTGTAGTACTGTATTTCCTGGCATGCATCCAAGTTAAAAAAAAAAAAGAAAAAGAAAAAGATAAACAGAACTTTGAAATTAATTTGTCATTTACTATTATTCATCACAACATACAGAATTAATATTATATTTGTTTTCCATAACCTTTGCTTTTTGTATAAAAACCTAGGGTTATGGAGAAGAAATGTGAAAGGCACATGAGAAGCACTTAAGTAAATTCTTAATCTTTGCATTTATCAGCTAATTTTTTTTTTCTGGTGCACACCTATTTCTTAATGTTTGGAACAGGAACTTTTTTTAAAACCTGCATATATTCTTATTCTTTTATTTTAATATAGCTAATTATATATAAAGATCTGAACGTAATTTCATAAGCAGAAACTTTAAATGAGGGTGTGATGAATCAGATGAATGGAGCTCACTCTTTTTGCCCAGGCAAGATATTATAGATGTGGGCATCAGCCTTTGTTGGTCAAGTGATCAGGTATTCTCATAAATATTTACCCCCTGTTATCTGAATGTACTTATGTGCTGCCACACATCCAGAATTACTACCTAGTGTGTAGCCAGATGTACCTGCTGCCTCAGTGATCTAATCTGGTTTGTGTGTGTCCCCTGTGGAAAGCACTTGGGCCATCTGATAGGCAGGGGACAGTTGTGGCAGGGAAGGAGCAGTGGGGACGTTGAAGAAAGAGCTTGGCAAGAAGTAGCTCTGGGCTAAGTTATTCTTACGGACCGTTTGGAGTTAGATCACTAGAAATTGTTTTGTTCAGAATGGACAAAATACTATCTGCTAGAATTGCCTGTAAATGTAGGCAAAAAACCTCTTAGATTCATCTGACAGTGTGAGAAGAGTTGCAGTTGCCAAAACCCTTTGTCTCTTAACAGTAAGATTATGATTCCCTTATGCTGAGTAGAATTTTCCCATTTAAAGTAGTCCTATCAATATCAATGCAATAGATAGTCATATAAATATCTATGGAATTAGAGAATAGCGTTATCCAAAGTTGGCAAAGAGAATAAATAATAAAAAATAACCTTACACACTTTCTCAGTAGGTAGTCTTCTGGATATAAGAATTGTGCCCTATTCCTCCAAGGTGACCAGTAGCAGAAAAATCAAAATCCTATGCAGAATCTCTGTTAGATCAATTTAAGGAATGAGGAAAAGACAACACCAAGCTGTTTACTGTTCTTTTTTTAAAACACACTGAATTTTTTTTTAAATTAGGAAGAAGTCTCCCTAAAGGCTGTATTTAAGCCTTAGTTGTATATTTGGAATATGCTATGCTATGTGTAGGAGAAAAAAACTTTAAAAAAACTTTTTTAGATGATTAAAGGTTGGATTTTCCTGTAATTTACAATGGAACTATGTGAATGATGTATGATTATTAAAATCTGAGAGAAGTTATCTATAAGATGTAAAATCTTGTTTCTGTTCTTTCTTCAGCTATTATTGTGTACAGGTTGCCCTGGACCTGGAAGTGCAGCAAACTCCTAATGAAGTTCATACATGCTGGACTAAATACCATAGCTATGATTCTTGCAATTGTTTCTATGGTAGCCGTGTTTGAATTCCACAATGCCAAGAACATTCCTAACATGTACAGTCTGCACAGCTGGATTGGGTTGACTGCTGTTATATTTTACTCTCTCCAGGTCAGAATCTAACTGTATGTATAAACAGGTTGTAAATTTGAATAATATGTTGAGTAATTCAGGGACAATAGTCCCTCATTAATACACTCCAACTGCTGGGATACTTATTTTATATTCTGTGATTTGGCAAATCAGCATGTAAATGTGCAAATACTGGATCCTGTGTTTTAAAGCATATTTTGTTTATTTGCTGGGATAATGGCAGTTCATTTACTATTCAGTGCTTCTAAGCTCTATAAATTGCTGAAGTTAAAGGAAGTGATTTGGTTTGTTGGCAGCATATTTAAATACAGTTAGAACTTTTATTAAGGAAGTCTCAAATGAGGTAATTGTTTTTATTTTTTTCCAGTTATCATAATTTCAAGTAGTCACTTCTTGGCCTCAAGATTTTTGTTTATCAGCAGAACAAGTGCAGCAGGGAGCAGTGCAGATCTAAAGGATCTGACATCTGAATGAGCTACTACTGGCCAACCAGTTTTCCCGAATCAGCAAACTTTGATAAATGTTCATGTGCATGCTTTTAACTGCTCCCATTGGCAGAGAATTAGAGTTATCATAATCTAAAATGAGCTAAATTAGTATGTTTTGCATTTGGCACAGAAGAAGAGAAGGCATGCCCTGACATTTAGTGTACACATACAGATGTGATGTTTCTGCATATACATTCTGAATTCCATATATTGTGTTATCACACTATGGAAATTTATTTTTTTCCTTCAAATTGTGATTCTTAATTGTTTTGCCAAAACACTAAGAAAAAAAAAGGAAGACTTAATTATCTGGTGTTCAAGCACAGAAGATTCCCAGCTGAGGGATTTGGGTTCTGGTCTTTTATCCTTCACTGTTCAGGCTAAGAGGTACAAGAAACAGTGTTGAAATAGTGATTTCAAATAGTGATGAAAGAAAACATATTGCAGCATTGTTGAGTATGTTCGTTATAGTTGAATAAGAAGAAACAATGTTAAGATTTTCCTTGTCCTAATAATGCAGTTATTTCAGGGAGATCTGTGCTGCCACTATGCTGAGTATCAGCATATTTTTTTTCTAATGGTTAAGATAAGGAATTGAAAATAAGATCTTAATTCTACTTTTCATTTTGCTACTATAAACATGATCAATGACACTTAATGCCTTGCCTTCCTTATCAATGGTGTTACTTCCTGTAGTGTCTGTGGTGTTACTTCCTCCAAACTGGGATGCATGTCTTCAGATAGAGACTGATGTTTGTTAAGTGATTGAATACTATTTTTAAAAAATAGTAATAAAGTAGTATCTCTGTTAATAGAGAAGACACTTGGCATTTGCCAGAAATGGCATGTCAATCTCAGAACTGAAAAATTATTGAGGGGGGGCTCACATAATACTATACCTACGGGAACAATTGTATTAAGCCAAATGTATGTTAATACAGTATAGCACAAGGACATAAAAAAAACTAGGGCAGAAATGAAAAATTAAGGCTGTCTCTTCAAAAGCAATGCCCCTGGAAAGAAGTACTCAAAGACTACATGAGGCTCAAAATGAGTTCTCACAATGCTGTGACAACAGGAAAAGTCAATTCTCTAATAAGAGATTATCTTCATGTCCATATATGGCATTAGTGAAACTAATATAAAATACTGTGGAATACATTTTTTCAAATGTAAAAAAATGAAAAGAAAAAAAGCAAAGAAAATCTGGAAAAGTAATTTGAGAGCTGGAAAAACTATCTTCCAGTGAAAGACTTAAAGAGCTCCAACTGTTCAGCAGATCTAAAGAAGATTAAGACATGACTTGATTATGGTGTATTAAAAAGCTTCACAGGGAGAAAATACCAGGCTCTTTAATCCAGCATGGAAAGACAAAACAAGGCCTAAGACTGGAATTTAAAGCAAGATGAAATACAAATTCATGCACCAATTCTAATTTAGCAGCAGGGGTGAGTAACGGCAGAACGAGCTGCAGAAGGGATGCAACCTCAACTTGACTGGGCCTCAATATGTCTGTAACTGAAACCACGCGACATGATGGGTTATCGCCCTTCACAAAATTAGCACTAATGGGAGGACTCATGTCCCCTGAATAATGTCACACCACCCACACATTCCTTCACTCTGTAAATGCCAACTGATTTGTATCTTAAGAGACGAAGGCCATTCTAAAGACATGTATATTAATTTAACTAAACCACCAACAAGGTAAAATTATTTAGTCCACTCAAGTCAGAAGGTTAGACTGCCTTCTTATCTTCATTTATGTGTCAATCTGTACCAGAAGCCGAGGACAGGACTTGAAGGGACTGTAAAAATGTAGTTACTCACACCTTCAATATATTACTGAATTAGTGACACTGAAAACTTGTGCTTCCAGTACTTAGTTTGGTTGCAGTTTTAGCATTACCAGTAAGTTTGGGCACTGATACAGGTGGCGTTATTTATAAAATATTTCATGTCTGCTTCCCAGGTGCTAATCCAGAATTATTGTTTTGGTTTTGAAGGGAAACACATTCAGAAATAAAAATGCCAATTCTTTGCCAATTTGTACCTGAAGACATCTCAAAATGGAATTTTTATGATGATTTTTATTTGGCTTGAGAAGTACAGATTGTTTCCCATATAGCTTTAACCACGGTTCTGTTTTGTGTTTAGCTCGTCTTGGGTTTTGCTGTGTTTCTGCTCCCTTTTGCTCCAGTTTCTCTCCGAGCAGCTCTCATGCCAATACACGTTTATTCGGGTCTTGCCATCTTTGCAACAGTGATTGCAACAGCTCTCATGGGAATCACAGAAAAGCTTATCTTTTCATTGTAAGTATTTTTTTCCCCACTTGTTTACTGTCGGAGACTGCTGGTTTTAGACCAGGACTGTCTTTAAAACAACTGACCTTTTTTTTTCCCCCCTTCCAAAGGAAAGATCCTGCATATAGTGCATCCCCACCAGAGGCAACTTTTGTCAACTGTCTTGGTCTTTTGCTTGTCATATTTGGTGCACTTATTTTGTGGATGGCAAGCAGGTCGCATTGGAAGCGCCCCCCAGAAGAGAATGCTAAAATTCTGCAGCCCATTGGAGGGACTCCTGAAGGCACAGAAGCAGAATCCACAATGACAGACGGTAGTAACGCAGATAAATCTGATCTAAGAATCAATAGCGAAGCAGCCAGAAAGCAAAACCTCAAACTTGACGAAGCAGGCCAGCGATCAACTATGTAAAGAAAACACACAGAATAACAGTACTATTATACTGCCAGCCCCCCCTTCTAATTTAGTTATATTGATATATAAATAGGTTGGGATTTTATTTTCAGTATGGCTTGCTCAATGATACTCAAGTTTTCTGCATATGAGTTTAAATTCAGTAAGTCCCAAACATATTATATTGGTTCATGCTCAGTCCTCATTTAAAAGTCAAGAGTGGGAATGACATCACATAATGGGAAAATCACATAATTGGAAAAAGTTTTCCATATCACTCCTTTATTTAATGCTTATATCTTTTATAGTTATGAAAATTAATGAGATTGAGAATAAATTTTGCTTTGAGTGATTTTGCATGTTATGAATCAGAGTCATGAGGCATACCAGACAGCAGAATTTAGTTGGTCACACAAATTTTTTCTGGTAATGTTCACCTTTTTTTAAAGCCCCTGTTTCTCAAGCTGATTAACCCCCTCACCAGCTACTAAGTTCTAAGGGATTAGAGGTCAATCAGCACTTTGCAGAGTTGCACCAGTAAAATGGTTAGTCTAAAAATTTGAATTCAAGAAAAGAAATTAAAGTTTGAATGAAAACTTCGTTAAATGTTATGTTTCCTTTAAAAACTTCTATATTTGGGGTTTTTTTAGTCAGAACCAATCTGTTGACTTCTAACCAACTCTATGAAACACATTGAAAAACATTTGGCTTTGGATTATGTGTGATTATGTGTGATCATTACTGAAATCTAAGGAAATTATAAGACATCCAAATGCAGAATTTGTCTTATTTGGAAAGCTATAGATACACACTTAGAAAAATAAGTATCACTAAAACTAAGTCTTCCTTTTATCCCAGAAGGTAGCATTTTACTATATTTATTTGATTGCGCTGTTCTATTGATTTATGACACTAGTCTAGAGATTAGGAGGTTAGAAACAAGAGAAGACTGCTAGCAACCTCACAGAAGAAAGTAGTCTGAAGGGAGAAATGTTTCCTCCCAGAAACAGCTGAGATTTTCTGATTTGATTAAAACGCTACCCATTAACTGAAAGCCAATTTTGGTATCTCCACACTGGTGTCAAAATCATTATTGTCACAGGTATGAAGACATACTTTAGTCTATAAGCAAACTCTATAAACACTATGACTTTTAAATTTTAAATTAAAGTGTTAAATAATTCAGTTTGAGTCTCTACTGGCACTTTACTTTTATAGCTCTTTCTAGTGAGGGGACTATTAATGTATTATTCTCATTCATTATTTTCACAGATATAAACAATACTTATTTTTTACAACTATAGAAGAATAATTATAGTAGATTATTTTGATTGCACATGTCAAAAATGATGAGCCTTTCTATTATAGTCTCTTGTAAAACCTGCAAGTCCAAATTTACCACTGTTCGTGATGCATTATAGACAGTTTCAGACAGGATATAATTTCTTACTTTTTAAAAGACTACATAAATTTTTGTCTACTTCAGCTTTTTAGAATGTTTAAACACATTAAGCTTTAGCAAATGTGCAATTTTTGTAGTTCACTGTTGTGTTAGTACAAACAAATTTGGTCAGCAGCTCTCTTGGATCTTCTCTGACAAGAAGCACCTCAGTTCCTGTTATTTGATTTTTAATAACATTTAATTATTTGGTGAATGCAGTATAGAAAGCTAGCACAGTAAATTATTTGAAAAACCTTTCAGCTGTACGATTTGGTCCTCAAGGACTAGATCACAGAGTTTTCACTTATATATGTTTGTGGATGACTGGGACCCACCTAGCATTGGTGTATTGTTTAATTTGAGAAAATACCTGCTTTTAAATGCTTTACTATAGAATTCAGTTATGACAGAAGGAATACTATCCTATTGGGTGAGGACTCCTCCAGTCCCACTATGTGCAATGGACCAGACAGCTATTTCCCTGTTTTTCAAGTTCCCCACAATTATCTGTCTCCTCTAAAATTTTTCTGTGCAGCTTCAGCATAAAATCCAGATAGTATGATAGTATCTTTCTGAGAGAAAAAGAAAAGCACTTTTTTTACATGACATTAGTGCTCAGCTGACACAACATGATTATGTTATGCATCCTATTACAAATTTATATATTGACTGCTAAGTAGGAAGAGAGATTTGCAGTAGCTTTTGGAGAATACTGAACTGTCTTCTTTTCTTCTGATCTCATTATGTTCTGTTCAACAAGTCTGTTTTTTGATGAAATCAGTAAGCATCTTGGTGGTGGATGCATGTTTAGTCTTTGTGAGAGACACTGTATTAACACTGTTGAAATCTAACAGGTGAAGGGAACAAATGAACTCAACTGTTCTAGTAATTTACTGTGCTAGCTTTCTATACCACACTCACACAGGCAACAGCATTTTAGGTTGGTATGTATTGGCCTGTTACCGTGTCTCATCCACTTGTGAAAATGAGCTCATTCAATCCTTGCATAGTACTAAGTCATCTAATTAAAGACTGTGTTTGTGTGAAATGTCGTCACTTGTCTAAAGGTTGTTCTGGAAGAAACTGTAACTGTACAGTATATTGGGAAAAAAAAAAGCCCACAAAATCTGTGATTTCATTTGTTACAACACTGACTTGGATGTTTTGAAATCAACAGCTTTTAGGTGAATGGTTCTATATGCTGTTAAAGTTAAGCTATAGTAACCAGTATGCCCTCTGTTTTCCTTTTTATTCCACATACTGTTCAAGGATAATGATACTTGGAAAAGAATGGTGGCATTTCTTTACTTCTCGATTCTGATGAGAGAAAACTAATTTAAAATCAAGGATTAGCAGCCTTTTGAGGGTAGTCTCCCAGACTATATTTTTGTTTTTCAACTTTGAGGTTAAACATGATAGTAGAAACTCAGTGAGAGCTAGAAGATTCCATTCTGGGAAATTATCATCATCAGTGATATCTCATGTGTGTGACCTGTGGGCTTCTGGCTGTTCTGGCCTTTGGAAGGTCCCCGTGAGATGCGGTAGCTGTAAGATACCTAAACCTTGCTCAACCTTGGTGTGTGCAATTCAAGACAGATGACATGCTATAGACTTTTGCCTTCTGTTCTTACATGATTATAAAGGTCTTTAAGTATCCTTGCAACATATGAGGTTAGTTCAAGGGCTAAATAAAAATCCATAGGACTTTGGAGAGTAATTTTCTCTGGAAAAAATATATTCCTAAAGCTGCTTCTCAAAGTGGCCTTCCATTAACCTTCCTTTCATGCAACTTTTCTGACCTGCATTTAAGTGTAATAGTAGCAACAAGGGAAATAAAAAGGTATATTTTCAAAGGTACAAATGGAAGGTAGAACTCTAGCTTTTTTATCAGAAGTTTTCTGCATGTTTGGAAATCTTCTACATCGTTGTCTTTACAGGGACATGACTGTAGAGCTTACATTCCAAGTTTGGATTTTTGTAACAACATAGGAAGTTACAAAACCTAACATTAAAAATGCTATTTTTTTAAGATGCCTGAAAAAAAATATTTTTTTAATGTATTTACATGCTGTCATGCCATACCGTGCACAGAGCAGAACAGTGTTTTTTCCAACATTAATGAAACTGAGAAATGATGGTGCAAATTAGATTTTAAAATTGAATGTACAGTAATTACATGTACACTTCCTATACATGTAACCAAGAAGATTGCATATCACATTGTAAATATAGATTACTTGTTTACATGGAAATTTTATTGAGAAACTAAAAGATATTGCCAAATATTTTCTATTTCAGAAGACTCTTTTGTTTCTATTTCTTCTCTTTCTAACTGTTCTCAAGAACTTAAAGAATTATTTTATTGTTTTATTACTCACGGTACTGATTTGTAGATGAAAGCAAATGTTTAATTACAATGTCTATTTTCCTTATTCTTTTTTTGTGTCTTAATAAAAATGATTTTTCAAGCTTATGATACCACTGAGTACAGATTTATATTATGGTACTAAAAGACAACTTTCCAAATTTGGCAAAAGATCAAATTATTCCTATGATTACTTTTTGACAACAGACAGGAGGATAGAGGTACAAAATTTCTTAAGAGTTTCTTAATTCCAAGTATTCCTGATGATCTTCCTGATGAAATTTATATAATGTGTAGTGTTAGAAGGATAATCAGTACATAGTGGAAAGTGAAGGAATTCACTGTATAAAGAAATTACTGTATTTCACCTTCTCATGATAACAGAAATTCCCCATAAGGAAAGAAAGAGGGGAGGAAAAAAAACAAAGAGGCTTTAGAGGGGAAAACAACCCAAAACCATCCTCAGTCATAAGATTGCCACAGCAAATAAGGGAAGATCATAAATTGTGATGTGTGATGGTCTCATAATGCACTGTAAGATCCAAATATATTCAGGTAAGTAACAGCCGAACTGAACACAGAGGAAAAGTTTTGACCCCATGGTATCTTGAGTTTAATAAGATTAATTGGGAAGTCTTCTAAAAGTGTAAAGCATAAACTGATTATTCCTGAATATCATATAGCTGCTGGCTAAAACTTTCCATCATCATCATCATCATCATGGAAGAGTAAAAAATACTGTTACAATCATCAGTATAGCGGAAAACTTCCTATATTCAAACCTGACAATTCCCTGTTACTATTAACTTCTCTTACCTGTCTCTTGTAGCCTGGATTTTTTGGGGAAAGTTCTGGCAAAATAGTCTGTATTTTTTCAATACATTATTAAAAAATTCAATAAAAGCTCAATTGTATTCACATTTGAAAGAGGGAGGTAAAAATTTTGGAGGAGGATTGCATTTGTGTGGAGTAGTTTTGCCAGTAGTTGATGGAACCCTTGTAACTTAAGTATAGATTCTTGCATTGTGTTACGGTATGAGCAACACTTTTGATGTCAGTAAGAATAGTGGGAAGTAATGAAGGGTAAATTACTATAGAGGAAGAGACTGAAGTCCAGGTGAAAAAAAATGGATGACAACGATTCCAAGTGATGCAGCTAATAGAAGAGGTAAAGTTCAAAAAATCCAGTTTCTACTGTACACATATCAGAACTTTTGTTGTAACAAAAATGACAAGGCCACATCTAACTCCAATAGAAGAAGTAGAAATAACTGGTATAAATGTCAATGAGCTCACTTATGTTTGCCAAATAATGTCATCACAGGCTACCAACCAACATACATTAGCTTGGGGCTTGAGTTTACAGTTGAGTCCATAGCCATGTATACTGACTACTCATTGGCTCTCAAATTCCATCTTTTGCCTGTCACCGAGTGGAGCAACAGCTATAAATAGAGCTACCAGAAAATGGATAAAAGTTGTGAAAATGTTTGTAATTTTCATTTCAATTTTCACTAGCATTTTACTCCAACAAAAAAAATGTCCGTCTAGTGGTACTCAACATCAGCAGGATATCATTAAATAATGTGATTAATAAGCATACTTTCAAATATTTTTGTACCAGATGATTCTTCTCATATGTGTATACAAGCAGTAATCCACTAGGTGGCAAGCACTGCCAAAATGGCCTTTGGCAGATGCGAGCCTATCATTGCTTTAAATGATACAATATGATGAGTCATCTGCCATAAAATAAAATTACGAGGTTAGTAGACATAAAACACACGGTCATAACAGAATTTATATATTTAGTTTGATATTCTGTTAAAGGGCCCACTTAAAATACAGTATTTATTCATCCCTGGTGTTGGAAATCGTTCTTTATTGTGCCCTACCACAGACTTGTTAAACTGCAGTTTCTGACTTCAGTGTGAGTAACAAGCAACAAAGAGAACATAACAGCATGAAAATTTAGGGATAAGCTCACATACAAGATGCAAAAGCAGCAAGAATTAGAAAAAACAGGAACTTCCAGTACTTTTGCCATTTGAACTTTCAGTCTCATGTAAATGTGATCCTGACAAAGTGAGCATTTGTGCCAATTTCAAATAACCAAAAAGTAAAGTTCTCCCCTCTGGTACGTGCTAACAGCTTCTGTTCCTAACTTACGCTATTTGTGGGCACTGACTGTGTAAGCGTGTTTTCTGATATATTCCACTGAATGTACTTCCATGTCAGTACTACTGAAAGCTACTTTGTACACAGTATGCTAGTGCTACTTTTTGATCCAACTTGCTTACCTATCCTCTCAAGCTATACTGGAAAATATTTTGTCTCCTATAGCTATGGCAGTGATTTCATGGTGTTAGTAACAGTGGGAGTGCTGATGTAGACAGGGCACTGTGCTTTTTCACAAAGCTTTGTATTAATGTTTGGGACAACAAAGTGGCAAAATTCAGTGTAATTCTGATTCTCCAGGATATTATTCTCATTATTTCTATGACTTTTGGATCTGGTAGAAATTCTACATTAAAAGACCTCCACTATAGGTATTATCCTGGCAATTCAGCCTGAGTGGTTGATATTTTTGTTAAAAACATTAACTGCTGTTGCAGTTAAGGCCAAGCTCATAGGTCACTGTGGCAGATTTCCGTACCTGCCCTGCTCCTGGCCAGCCCTCATTGCTCCCTGACAGCAATCTTGTATACTCAGCCTGTGCTCTGAACTGGATAGATCAGTCCTCATCGAGTATTTGCCATGGACAGGAAATGGCTTCTCCATCTCTCTTCATATGGTTCTATGGAAATACTTTGCTTAAAAAGCGTTAAAGTTACATTTTAGTTATAATTCACAAATAAAGGATGAGGTGCATGGAGTGAACAAAGATGTTTGCTGGATAGTTGCGGTAAATAAAATAAAGCACTTTTTTTTCCCCCTGTGTTTACAGAGTGATATGAAATCATACCATCACTTCACAGGTCTCCATACCTCGTAAGAGTAGCAGCTGGAAATGTGTGAATATGCTTCTTAAAGTTTGTAGCAATGTAAAACGAGATAAACCTTATCCTCATTTTATTGCATAGCAGAAGCAGAAGTTGGAAGGGCCTTTACCAAAACAGATCTGCAGTGGCTTTCAAAATGCTGTACTAGAAAACTTCCCAGCTCTTTTGTCTGTACTGACGGTTATACAGCTGGTGACTGAAAATAACGACTGCTCCCCAGCAAAGGTAGCACTGTTATACATGGACTTGGATGAACTGTTCTCTGCTACCAAGCAGTGGGACCCTGCCAGTGGCACTGCAAAAGCTTGGAAAGAATTTGCTGACCCACCAGACTGTGAGTGTATAACCAAAAGCAGCATTTGCCTCAAAAAGAGTTTGCATATGGACCTAAGCACTGCTGCCCTATCCTCAAATATATGAGAGAATATATGCAGGCAGTCAGCCATTCCCACACCAACAGGGGTTCAGATCTCCACAGTAGCGTTATGCCACTTTGAAAAAAGGTATCTTTAAGTAAGAGTTGCTTCAAGAGTTTTTAGTGGACTTCAGAGACAGTAGAGCTCAATGTCATTCCAGTCTCTGAATGTACCCATACTCTCCGCCTGCTTTTTCTATAAAGTACCCTGGCACAGAATTACATATAGTGCTTATTTTGATTTCTTCCTTTGTAAGCCTACGCCAGTCACTGGGGAGTCTTTCGTACCCTGTTTCAGCCTCTCTGTAATTTTCAATTGTTACTCAGGTCCTAACACAGAAATGAATATAGGAGCCTCCATCAGGGAATCTACAGCTGGTTTGAGTTCTTCACAGCAATGCCCAGGTCTCCTTCCTAAGTTAAGAGGTGATTACAATCCTATGAGAGTTTAGACCTTTCTTCACATTTTCCCTACAAATTGCATTATCTTGCACCTACTAACATTAAGCTTTCTAAGCCACTGAGTTACATGTGCTCCATTGACTAAATAACATTTCTTTCTAATTCAAAGCTCCCTTCTCCAGTTCTTCCTAACTCAGTATTCTCTGAATCTCTGCTCTAGCAAAGAAAATCTTTCTATCTCTGAGTAGCATCTCTGTTTTATAGTATATATAACAGTATCTCTGTTTTATAACCCTGGTAATCATTCTCTCCTTTTGGGGAGGGCAAGTCAGTTTGGTCTTGAATAAGACTTCCTCTTAATGCCTTAAGGGCTAATTCACTCTGAAGTAAGCTCTTGTGGAATGTAATAACTGGATACAAAGACGTTCTGTACATCAGTCCAATATGTACAAATTCAGATTATATTACCAACCACACTTTTAGTTCTATTATGTTGTCAACATGTTTATATAATAGTTATTTGTATTAAACAGTCTTCCTTTGCCTATCTCTAATAATCAAATTACTAGTAATATTTTTGAATATGTAGAACTGTAATAATAAAGAATACCTTGGGGTTTGGATCTAACATCTCGAATCTTCAATTAAAAATATCTTTTGTGGCTTTACATACAGAGTCAGTCTGTATGTAAAATACATAAAATCCATCCCACCAGCTACGTCCAACAATTTTTCATTACTTTATAGCTACAATTTGAGGTCTGACCCACTTTGAGAGAAGGCAGCTTGTGTAGCCTCTATGCAAAACACTTGGAAAAGCAGAAACTTCAATTTGTTCTCTTTATAGATTTATTCAGAAAGAAGCTTTGAAATAAAAGGCTTTGAAAGGCTGGCAAGCTTGCTGAACAATGAGTTGTTATTCTTTGAAGGCATATTATCTTAAAAATTACAAGGAAACCTGAGTGTATCTAATGAGTAGAACTCCTATTTTTGAGAGAAAATAAATGGAAGAGTTTGAGAGGATTTTTTTTTGTTGAGTTTTTCTTCCTCCTGGGACTGCCTGTTGCTCTTATGTGGAAGTTTCCTGCTGATTTGACTTTTTATTCTGCTGTGAGACTGATGCCAAGATTTACATGATTGCTGTGGATAGGAACTGGATTTAGCATAAGGAAGATAACTGCTTTTCCCCTAGGGAGAGACAGAAAAGGGAAAGACAGAGTGGGGCACACAGACAATATTGTCTGAAGCTATATTCTTGGTCAATTATTTTATTCAGCCTC